CAAGAAATTAACAGTTTAAAAAATTTTATATTTTTAATATTTTATATTAAAATATATCATATATTAAAATGTATCACAATAAAATATAAAATATCTTTAATATCTAAACTATTAAATCTTTAATAACTTTATCTTAATACTTTTATATAAAAAAAATACAGATTAGACATAAAACTCATATTAAGTATGAAAAAATTATATGATATCATATAAAAAATAGCGCTCATAAATAACACAATAACACAAATCGACAGTGTCATTTGCGAATATATCAATATTATAGTAATGTGACTCTCGTAGGCCTACTTTTTATAAAAGTTTTTATTCCAAATGCTTTTTTGTAAATCTGTTTTCGTGTTATTTCAATAAATTAATTAAAATGAAATATTCTGTTAGATATGTATGCATATATGTATATACAAGATATGTAAGATGTTTCATAATTGGTGAGGCATCTTTCGTAAGCAAATAAAACAGAATTATATTGAATAGAATGCTTTAATATTTTGCGATTTTCATAATTGCTAAACATTAATTTATAAAGATTCGTGAATGAGTGTGTATCCGCGCGCGAAAAAATAGTACTATGTAATAGTAGTGCGCTCATAATCATTAGGAAACTGACGTCGCGTTTAAAAATGTAAACAAATGATAGAATATTGTTTATAGCACACATCTTCAAACTCTTACAACTATAAACGCGTGTAACGCTTTAGTTCAAACAAATAAATGTTCATTGTAGGTAGTAGAGTAGAGAGAGAGAGAGAGAGAGAGAGAGAGAGAGAGAGAGAGAAAGAGAGATTATAAATTGATATCTCATTAATTATTGAGAAAATTTCAAAAGAGTAAACAATTTTTCTATTTAGTATAATCTGTTCTATTCGCTCATAAGATGTGTCATGAATTATGGGACAAGCTGTGTAAAGATGTGCGAATATGGATCAAATATAAATTGAATCGAATCAGATAAGGTACACATAATTCTCTATGATTCGAATCCGAATATTTAAAAATTTCGAATCTAAAAGGTGTGAATATGAATTACATATACTAACAATTTTATAAAAGTATATTTCCTCTGCTAATACAACAATGTCATGTGAGATAAGAGTTGTCATTAAATCTATTCTTTACAGCTGAACATTCATTTCACTTAAAGTGAAATAGATATACGTGAATATGATATTAAAGTGAAATAGATATACGTGAATATATTTGAAGTTTGCTACGTAGCAGGAAGCAATTTTATTTGTTTAACTCGTTAATTGTTACAAAACGATCGACGAATCTACATAAGGTACACAATTATACATGCAATTAATCAAATTTTAAAATACAAATAATTGGCTATGAATTCAATCCAAAACCAATTATATCGATTTCTATTGAGTTCGTCTTCAATCGGTGACTTTTGATGTCTATCAATTTGATTAATTGCAACTATGCATTAAACTCGTGTTTGCCATCGATTTGTAACTGTAGTTTTATTTATAATTTCTGACATATATTATGGAATCTCATTGTCAAATTGTAAATAAAATACATTTCTCAATTTTATATTAAAAATTTAAATATATGTATGTTTAAAATGACTAAATATTATATCATATAATCAAATCAATAAACTTTATATCATATAATCAATATTATCTTTTTATAGAAATTTTTTTTCATTATCTATATCAATGCTCGAAATTAGTTACACATTTCGATCCGATTTCGAAGGCGACGCTTACAGTTCTCCCACTACCGCTTGAGACTCAGCGACCGAGCCGCCGAACGGCCGTGCCTCAGGAGCGTCGCCGTATGAGAAACATGTTATCCGTGACAATGAAATTGATAATGTTATCATCATTCTCCTTTAAAGCTATAAAACTTTTGTCTGAAATATTTTTCCATCTTTTATATTTTTGAGATATTTGATCTATTACGTATGAAATAAAACACCCATAAATAAAACACAAATGGTATTTAATGTAGTATATGAGATTAAGAATATAAAATTAATAATTATCAATAATTAATAAAAAATACAAATAATAATAAAAA